TAAAGGTTGATTCTTTCCTTGTTTGGAAGTCAACCTCCCACCCAGCGATGGGAAGCTTGTACCCATCGATGGGTAGGTAACCGTTAACTTCAAAAATGAAGGAAAATTGGCTTACCAGCGATGGGTAAGTCCCAAACATCGATGGGAAGCCAATATTCTGCAGATCCCAAATCTTTTCAATCCCATAAATCAAGCTAATCACTCCTTTAATGCATTGGTCCGTTGGAGCCTAATTTTGCACTATAAAAAGGGGTGTTTGGGTCTGCTTTTCTCACCAATTCACTTCACAACATCTATACTTTCATTGCATTCAAATATCATAATTTTCCATAGCTTTCTAGAGCCACTTGTGTGAAGGTTGAGTTGTTCTTGAGCGTACTTAGTTTACTCATAATCTACTCTATAAGAGAGTCTCGTTCTTGAGTGTACTTGTGTTCTTAGACACGTTGAGAGATAGTATCACTCTCGGTTGATTCAAAGGAAGGTCTGTTTCCTTTGAAGGATTCGTTGAGGTTCGTGTGACTCGAACTCTCAAGTTGTAACGGTTTGTTAAGCACCCGTAAGCTTAACGAGTTAGTAGTGTAGCTCGAGAGAGTCTCTCGGGAGGCTGGATTAGCCACAAGTTGTGGTGAACCAGGGTAAAATTCGGTGTGCCTCTTACTCTTCTCTTTACTTCTCTTTTAAATTTTTAATTCCTGCGACTTCTCCGATCAAACGCTATTCACCCCCCCCTCTAGCATTGGTCTTTTATTCTAACAACAGGCGTATTCATTTCACTTGAATTATCCGATTGAGTATTTGCAGATGGAGAATTGTCTGATTTGGTCTTCTTACATTCAAATGTTAACGATAACTACAAACGCTTATACAAAAAGATGCATAAGTTAAAATGTTTAACTTAAAACATTTGAATATTTCACAATTAGACACCACAATTTGCATCGAAAATTGTAAACATTTGATTTTTTTAGCCTAACCATTCTCATAAGTCATGTTTTGCACAACAAACACATTCATTCCAATAAGTTTCTAAAATGATACTCAATAACTATGTGTTTTCTCAAATTAGTCTCCAAAATTAAGTGATTACTGATATTGTACTTGTTAATTGAACCGTTAAAACAACGTTAAACTCTATACTCATTTTCTAAAATTGATTCTCAGAAACTGGGTGTTTTCTCAAACTGGTCTATTTTTGAAATAAAAATACATTAAATATTGAAACAAAATTTAAATTTTATAGGGTAAGAATATGATAATAAAAAATAAATATAATTTTATAAATTTGAAAGTAAATGTTTTAGATTATTTACAATTATTTAGAAAATTAGCATATAAAAAATATTTAATAAACATTATGGTCTACAATGTTTATATTGTTAAAACTCTTTTTTAACAATGTCTGATTAAAGTTATTTTCAAAAAGTTTAAAACTATAATTTGATCTAGAATTTTAAAATGTATATATTGAAAAAGTACACAAGATCTACAAAATAAGTGATGAGATAACTGTTTTTGAAAATGGTCTACAAAAATGTATTAAGAAAATAGATTTATAGTTTGGTCTTAGTAAACTTGAGTGTTCCTTGGAGATGAATAAAGTATAACTTAGTCACGATAGTCGAGGGACTAAATTGAGAATTATTCTCAATTTACGTGTATCATCTCGTTATTTAGTTAATTTTGGAAACTAATTTGAGAAAACACATAGATATCGAGTACCTATTGTGCGATAGGCACATGTAAAAAATGAAAGAGGAAAATCAAATCCTCCTATGATTTCGTTTCATTGTGTTGTCGGCTTCATAAGTCTCTTTATGGGCTGCGTCAGGCTCCTTGTTGCTGGTTTGCTAACTCTCCTCCTTGCGTGCCTACGATTTTTGCCAATCTAAGGATGACTGTTCTCTGTTCACCTACGCAAGGGGGTGTGGAAATTCGTGTCTTGGTGTACGTAGATGATCTTATTATTGCACGGACTAATGAAGTAGTCATTACTCGCTTCAAGAAATATATGTTGGATTGCTTCCACATGAAGGACTTTAGAGAGTCGAAATATTTCTTGGGAATTGAAGTGGCCCGCAACAGAGACAGTACTTTTTGTGCCAACACAGATATGCACTAGATATTTTGAAAGAAACAGGATGTTAGGTGCTAGGCCGGCCGCCACCCCCTTGCAACCTAATCACGGATTGGCATTGGCGTTCGGCACCGAATTGCATGACCCAAGGAAATATCATTGGCTTGTTGGACGAGTCATTTATTTGACTATATCACTACCTGATTTGGCTTGTTCTGTTCATAATCTCTCTCTCTCAGTATATGGGAACTCCACGTCAAGAACATTGGGACAATGTTCAATAGGTCTTGCGTTACCACTACAAGAAAACGCGAAAAGGATGACGAAAAATGGCGACGGACTCTTTTCTGTTGCCAATAGAGACGGAATCAGCGACGGATTTGAGATGACTACCAGACTTAACGATGGAACCTAACTTCCGTCGTTAAGTAGACGCGGGAAGGGGTGCGCGCCACGTTTTAAGAGAGAATTAGCGACGGAATGGAACTGTCGTTACACTAGCGACGGAAAAAAACCGTCGTCATACAGAATTTTATTAATACGGTTCAAAACGGTGCCGTTTTGTTAGTGACGGAATATTTCCGTCGCCCAATTTTAATTGAAAAACTAGCTATCTTCTTTTCCAGACAGAAACCATCGGACACCAAAACCACAAGCAAGTCCGCCCGTCCCATCGCTGCTGCTCGCCCTCCAGGTTGTCTCCGCTGCTTGCCGTCCACCTCGCCGCCTATTGCCACCGTTAACCGTCCCACCGCCACCGTCTCCGCCTACCTTATGCCAATTTCTATCCACAAATCTCAGGTTTTCTTCAATTTTATTTTACAATTGAAATTGTAAAAAATTTCGATTATAGATTTTTTTTTCCTTGGATACACATTTATTACTGTTTTGATGATATGAATAGAAAATATATTATTATATGTAAATTATTTAACATTTTCTTCTAAATTTGACCATTTTTGAAATTAGCGTTTTTCCCCCAAAATTTTGTCATTTTGTGTTTAAAAGTTCATTATATGCTTGAAACATAAGAGGATTAATAATTGTTGAAATTAGGGTTTAGTGAATGACTATTATGCGTATTAATTGTTTCATAGAGTATTTTAGATATTGTAAATGTTATAAAAAAATTATGTACGTATAATGTATGTTGTTGAATATTGTACGTAGTTGTATTTATATTAATTTTTTTAGTTTTTTGTAATAAATTTTATAACTTAATAGTATGTTAATTTATTTGTTTGAATTTCTCAGAATGAGTGACTTTCACGAAAATCGAGATTGGATGTATAAAAGGCTTGATAGCTCAGGTTTTATAAATACAGATTGGATTGACAAAGTTAGACAATTCATTGAGTTTTGTGAGTCAAATCCAAAAGTATACAGATTCAACGGGCAGATGCGTTGTCCTTGTAAGATTTGTAAGAATAAATATTTTAAAGATATCGAGGACATTAAGCTTCATGTACTGAGACAAGGTTTCACTCCTAAATATCATGATTGGGTTTGCCACGGGGAGGAACATGGTGATTATACGAGCCATCATCGGCGCCGTAAATCTGCTTTACCGAAAGGACAGAATACATGAATATGGTGATTGATGTTGCGGGGCCTTCCTTTAATCCTAACGTTCCAGTTGAGGAGGAACTAAAAGCCGCTGATACCGACTTATGGAAAGGTTGCACTAAAATGTCCCAACTCTCGATGGTTGCAAGATTACTCAATATTAAGGCAGAGCACAATTTGTATGAGAGGTGTTACGACACTATTTGCCAACTCTTCAAAGACGGACTTCCGGAGGACAATTCAATGGTTTCTGATTTTTATGAGACAAAAAAACTCATTGAAGGTTTAGGACTACCAGTGGAGAAAATTCACTATTGTGTCCAAAATTGCATGCTTTTTTGGGGCCCAGATGCTGAGCTAACTGCATGTAAAATTTGTGAAAAGCCTCGTTACAAAGATTCTATAAAAAGATACCAAATAGATACATGTTCTATTTCTCCCTAACGCCAAGGTTAAAGAGATTGTACATGTCAAAGAGAACAGCGGAGTCCATGCATTGGAGAAGAGCTAGATGAAATTAGAGCTTCCCAAGCGCGTGAATTATTGTCGATTAGAGAAGAGATGATCCAACTTTATGGAGGAGTTTTCCCACGTGGAAATGGAGATGGCGGTGGAGATCACTACAAGAAAACGCCAAAAGAACGACGGAATTTGGCGACGGAATACTTTCTGTCGTTCGTAGCGACAGAATTAGCGACAGATTTTGGATGCCTACCAGACGTAACGACGGATTTAAAGTTCTGTCGTTAGGTATACGCGGGAAGTAGTTATAGCGACGGAAATTTTCCGTCGTTAGTTTGGCGACGGAAACAAACCGTCGCCTACTTCATTTTATCTAAACGCATCGTTTTGGCTTAGCGACGGAATTTTTCCGTCGCGAAATTCCGTCGCCGCACGATTCAGATCTTAAATACGAAATTCCTTTTCTAAGACAGACAGAACGCCAAAGATGACACTGAAGTGCAGAACAGAACGCCGTTCGCCGTCCAGCACCCCGCCACTCGCCGTCGAGTTCGCCGCCACTCGCCGCCGCTCGACGTCCCCCCTCGCCGCCGCTCGTTGTCCACCTGTTGCCGGTCTTCATCTTCAAATATCAGGTTTTTTTCATTTTCTTGCAATTGAACTTGAAAAAAATTGACTACAGATTATATATTTATACTTGAATAGAAAATTATTATTGATTGATGATATATATTCAGAGTACATTATGTAAATTATTTGACATTTAGTTCTAATTTTAAAAGTTATTGAAATTAGGGTTTTTTCCCCAAAATTTTGTCATTTTGTTTTAAAAACTTAATTATATATTCTTGAAACTTTTAGTGAATGAATATTATGCTTATTAATTTTTTCATAGCATATTTTAGATATTGTAAATGTTATATATATGATGATTGTGTACGCATTATGTGTATGTTATTCAATATTGTAATTCTTGCATTAATATTATATTTTTTAGTTTGTTTTTAATAAATTATATAACTTAATAGTATGTTAATTTTAGTTGTTTGAATTTCTCAGAATGAGTGACTTTCATGAAAATCGAGATTGGATGTACAAAAGACTTGATAGTTCAGATTTTATAATTACAGATTGGGTTGACAAAGTAAGACAATTCATTGAGTTTTGTGAGTCAAATCCAAACGTAGATAGATTGAAAGGGCAGATGTGTTGTTCTTGTAAGATTTGTAAGAATTGATCGCTCTAGCAGGTGATTATACATAGGAGGCTCGCTCTCGGATAATTTGTTCCACATTCCAGCGGAGGCTCGATCCAACATGGGTAGTAGGAAGAGCCTAAGCGACGCGACAGTGGACTTTTACTGGCGAGAGTTTTAGAAAAATCGTCGTGGCGGTGACGAGTGTGTCCCTGCTAGCGCCACGCACACCGGTAAGTACTATTAGTAACAAAAACTACATTAAAATGCTCTAAGTGGCATGTTTCCACTTATTTATATATATATTTTTTAGGGTAAAAGTGGACAAACTTCTGACTTGTACTCTTCGTACACACACACACACATACAAAGAAACATGATGAGAAGACCTACGTCAATAAGATGGCAGAAGAAGTATCAGTAAGTGACAGTGTGTGTGTGTGTGTGTGTGTGTGTATTGTATATATATGATTAGTTTTCATTGAATTCAATTGAATGTGAATTCATAATACATGTGTGTTTGGTGTATTGCAGCAAAACTACGTAGCCATGCGGGAGGCAGTTCGTGAACAAGGCTTAAATGTGACACCTGATGAGATTTTTAGATCTACAGTCGGAGGACATGATGCCAAAAATCGGGTTCGTGGTGTTGGAGATCTCGCACGGAGCCTACCACGAATGCATGCAAGTGAGGCAAGATGTGCTAGCACCAGCTCTATGTGGGATCCTCGCGATGATGAGATCAGGAGGTTGAGAGAAGAGCTAGACGAAATTAGAGCTAGTCGATTAGAGAACAAATGACCCGACTCTATGGAGGAGTATTCCCACGTGGAAATGGAGATGGCAGTGGAGATGGAGGAGGGTCGGGGTTTGCAGGCGCTTGTTGAGTGTTTTATTAGAACTGAAGAACATTATATTAAACTTAAGTTTTATGGTTATGTAAGTGGAGTGAGATATCTTTGTTAAGTTGAATTTTATAAATATTATTTGAATTTTAATTGTAGCTGGGTGATTTGAATATTTTTGGTTGTTTGGTACTCTTCATTTCTAGTATTTGTTGGTTGTTTGATACTGTGTTGTGATTTAGAGCAGGTGTTCTTGTGTGAAATTGAAAAAATTGCAGGATTTTGTAGCATTGCTGTTAATTCGGCGACGGAATTAGCGACGGAATACTAATTCCGTCGCTATGTGGTCACATTGCTATAACGGTCGGTATTTCCGTCAGTAAAACGTGGCGACGGAAAAATTCCGTTGCTAAAACCGTCGCCATTTTCCGTCGCCAATTCCGTCGTTGCCTGGCGACGGAATTCAAAAACCGTCGCTAACTTAGATACTAACGAAAAAATAGCGACGGAAAAAAACCGTCGTTACACCGATTACCTACGGAAAAAAGCCTTTGGTAGTTTTTTGTAGTGGATGGAGGAGGAGCGGGATTTGCAGGGGCTTGTTGAGTGTTTTATTAGAATTGAAGAGCAATATATTAAACTTAAGTTTTATGGTTATGTAAGTGGAGTTAGATTTGATTGTTATGTTGATTTTTTATAAATATTATTTGAATTTTAGTTGTACATTGGTGACTTGAATATTCTTGGTTGTTTGGTAATCTTCATTTCCAGTAATTGTTGTTGTTTGATGCTGGGATTTCTGAGCTTTGCTATGGATGTGTGCAAAATTGAAAAATAGCAGTTTCCTAGTTATAACCTGTCAAATTGGCGACGGAATTGTATTTCTGTCGCTGTATGGTCAAAATGCATATTCCGTCGCTAAAACCGTCGGTATGTCTAGCGACGGATATTTTCCGTCGTAAGTTCCGTCGCTTATTTCCGTTGCCACTTCCGTCGTAGACTAGCGACGGAATGAAATATTCGTCGTTACATTTATTACTAACGAAAAAGTAGCGACGGAAAAGATTCCGTCGTTATTTCCGTCGTTACCAAGATTACCTACGGAATTAAGGCTTTGGCGACGGAATATTTCTGTCGCCATTTCTGCAGTTTTTTGTAGTGTACATAAAGTCACGACCAAGACAGGGGCTTTTTCTTCCGCCATCCTGTGATCTTTTTCGTGTTGCTTATTGTGATTCGAATTGGTAAGTTATCCACTCACTCGGGGATTTGTGACAAGTTATTTTATTCAGCTTGGAAATGCACCTATCTCTTGGCGAGAAAAAAAAAGCAAAATACACATCAAAAAGTATTCTTTTAAAAAAAGTACAATGCACCCTCGCTCCTCTCAAATACCATTTTCCACTCTCAAAAGTTTTAATTGCTTCCACTTTACATTCAACTAGAACAACATACATTTGCAGAGAGCATTTGAACATTTGGATGGGCAAAGCTTCAAAATTGAATAAATATTTTTTTTACTGTTAATACAGTTGTTAAAACAGCTGCTCAAGACAAATTAACGAGGTTCCGTCTTTGCTCCCAGGTATAACCTCCGACCGTATAGTCTTTGCTTCTAGGATGGAATAAATGGGTCTGAAGTGTGAAAATGGTCACCACCGAGGTGCGATAAGCGCTGAATTCAGTAATACCTCTAGGTTTTTTACAGTGATTGATGGTTGAATGTAAAATGGAAGGATTTAAAATTTTTGAGGATGGATTATGATATTTAGGAGAAGTGAGGCGGAATATTTTACGCTCTTCTGTTGAGGCGGAATATCGCTCCATCCCGAACACGGTTTGCAAGCTTAAATGGCTCTGCTCGCGGCTGACCTCCTTAGACATGTGCCAGCATGGTCCGAAGACGCTCTTCTATGACAGTCAAATTGCTTACACATTGCTGCTAATTCTGTTTTTCACGAAACATATTGAGATTAATTATCACTTTATCCGAGATGAAATCCATCGTGGGGTATTACGTACTGCTATTCACTTCCGCTGAACAGCCACTCGATATTCTTACTAAAGCTTTGCTCTTGTTGCCTTTTACTCATTTATTATTCAAGCCGGGGACTCAGAATCCGCACGCTCCAGCTTGTGGGGGATATTGGACGACGCACGCATGGACTAAAAGAAAGGAAAACTGAATCCTCTAAGTATCCGGTTTGATTGTGTTATTTCATGTTATGGAAGCTTTTACACTGTTTAGTTCAAGAAATTTGAAAAGAAAAGAAAACAATTTTTTCTCATTTTCTCACCAAAATGGAATGAATTTAGTTTTCTCTCCACTTACATTGTTTTTGGTTCAAGGAATATGAAAAGAAAAAGAAAAGTAATTGAGATGAAAACATTTTTTTATGTTTTGTTAGAGAGGAAAATAAAAGAAAAGTAAAAGGAAAAACAAATGAGAAGGTAAAACATACTAAAAGAATTCCTTCCATTTTGATGAAGAAAATGAAAGAAAATCATTTTCTTTTTTTCCTTCGAAATTCCTTGAACCAAACAATGTTAATACAATTTGTCTTCTCATTTTCTTTTCCTTCCATTTTTTTCTTATTTTTTTTCTCTAACCAAACACAAGAAAAACTTCTTTCCACTTCATTTTCTTTTTTTTCATTTCAAATTCCTAGAACCAAACATAGTATTAGAGTCTTGATGGGAATAGAAGTTTATTTTTATGATTTTTATTTCTTATATAAAGAGGGTCTCGTGTTTGTATTAGACAGAACCTTTGGATTTTGAAATATGCAAATTTATTTCCCAATATTAAATCTAACAGTACCATTTTGAAAATATACTTTGTTTCTCTATATATATGTAATCTTGGGTATGTTTGACTGTATTTTCATATTCATTCTACATACTTACGTCTAGTACGATGAAAATATATTGATATACCCCAAATCTCCGATATCACTTCAATATGAAGGCTTGTTTCACGCAAGTTTCTTCACGTACTTAGTATACCATTCGCCTCTAATGCTACTTTGCTTCCCCTCCCAGATTTCCAACAAAGTTTAGAAGGCTAAACTTAAATTCAGGGATTCCATTCAGGTCTTGTTTGGTAAACGGAATTCAAACTATGGAATTGGAATTGAGGACTTCAATTCTAAATCTGGTGTTTGGTAGCACAAAATTTATGTGGATTTGGAATTGATAGTGTAAAAAGTTAATTGGAATTGGTAGAATTCAATTCTATGGAAATAAATCCCATGGAATTTCAATTCCAATTCAATTCCAATTCCATCAGTTCCGTATACCAAACGGACCCTCAATGAACATAGATATAATCCTTCAATTGTCTCCCATATATTCAAAAGCCTGGAGCTTCTGCCAATATATTCTAAAATCCTTCAATTGTCTCCCATATACAACTAGATCACACAGCCTTTGATTGACTGCAAGGAGAATCCTATGCTCAGGCTGCAATGTTACTTCATCGTACGAAAGCATTGTTGTTAGCTTACTGTTCCATTATATTCTCTTTATACTATCGCCATGGACAACAACGATTCCTTCACTTGCAAGAGTGTAGATCGCATTTCGCAGCTGTTAAAATTACAAAAAAAAAAGATATTTCAGCAAGAAACAAAATATGCATTTGTAGACAGTGTTGGAGAGAATTACATCATTGAGGTTGGGTTCAATGCCAGAACTTTTCTTCTTCACCTCCTCCAGTATCTGAACATTAATCTCAGAATGTGAGTATCCAATTTCTTAACGTTAGGAAAAGGTCATTCTTCGGGAAGAAAGCAAGTTCTACTAACCTCAATCAACCGAAGCGAGGGCCCTCCGAGCTGCATCTTTTCCCTAACTATGTCGCGGGTGTCTGATAGCAGGTTTTCTCTTCTCACCCTTTCACTTGCAGAAACTCCGGTAGTAATGAGGTCCATATCAATGGTTCCTATTTTAGTGGATAATATAACAGCCACAAAATTATTATGGTTCACTCACAGAGGTCTTTATTTTAATAAATGCAGGCAATATGAACAATAATAAGCATTTGTAGTTCATATTTTTAAAATCCCCAAGAAAAAACTACGATTAAGGCTTATCCCGGACTCAAGTAAATTGAGCTCAGCAAGAAACCACCCTTTGAGATCAGTTTTATCTCCGAACATCTGAATACTTATTTTCATCCATTCCAGGTCACCAGATAATTTCATTCAAAATTCATATAATGCTTCAAAGATAGTAATAATAATAATAATAATAACAATAATAATAATAATAACAATAATAACAATAACAATAATAATAATAATAAAACACCGGAATTACATATAACCAAATGTGCTTGAAGATTCATTTGTGCATAATACGTTCCATCCCAGTTTACCTGTGGCATGGTCTGTGGCAGACTGTTGCAATGCAACTTCTAGAAGCCTGAATGCCTCCAATACATCTCGCTTTTCAACCTGCCATCCATGAGGATAGTAATCAGTTACCTTTATATTTATATTTTGAATAAATTCTATAAATACTCTTGGGTTAAATATGCTTATAGGGCCTGTTTGGGAATAACGTTTGCGTTTTCAAAAGGCTATCTATGGGCAGCGTTTAGCGTTAGCGTTTTCAAATTAATCTACACCGTTAAATTTTTATCCAAAACGCTAACGCTAATCTTTAACGCTATTCCCAAACAGGCCCATAGTCCATGTGAAATGAGCAATTTTTGCTTTTAGTCCCTCTAAAATATTTTTTTACTAAATCATCCCTGTAAAATATTTGTTTTTGCAAATGGTCCTCTCACCAACTTAGAGTTAATTTGTTAAGATTTAAAAGGACCTAAAAGAAAATCTCTTTGGATTTAAAATATTTTAGAGGGACCAAAAACAAAATCACTTTTTATACATTAAATACAAATTCAACATTAACTCTAAAATTAAGATAAATAGTGAAAGGAGTATTTGCAAAATGAACTATTTTACAAGGATGTCTTGATACAAATTATTTTAGTGTGGCTAAAAGCAAAAGTCACTTCTTTTAGAGAGACCAAAAACATATTTAACCCAGTAGTCTTTTAAAACAGGTTATCTGCATATAGTCCTTGATTCTAAGCCATTATGTTTGTGGTCTTCTATAATTCAAAACTATTTTATGATCGGCTTTTTGGACCCAAATATGTTTTTCCACATATAGTCCACAAAGAATTAATTATATAATCGTTCTCAAATATAGAAGGCCAGGAACATAATATTTTAAAATTGAGGATTAAAAATAAATGGAAAACCTCATATTATAGAAGACTAAAATTTACTTTTATTATAGACAAGAAACTGTGATTAAGAGAATATAATACTGACACAATCTGAGAACCGTATCCGAGCAAGAGCTTCACTAAGACGTATTACACTCTCAATTTGCCTGGGTGTGGCTGTAATGACCTGTAGGATATAAGAGTGCAGTTATGCTCTATATTGCATGCAGGACCAATTCATGGCTGACAGAAGGCAATTTGCACTGTTACTTGTACATCAGAAAAACTAAAATACTTGAATGTTTTTTGACAGCTTGAACATACTCCCCCTGTCCCACAATATTTGTCTCTCCGAACAACGTGCAAAATTTTATCACTTTTAAAATCATTGGTATAGAAATAAAAACTACTCCCTCCATCCCAAAAATATCTACCCATTTCATTTTTTGCGCATCCCATTGAATACTTCTACCCACATCTAAAGTGCCTAAAGATTATCACATTTACCCTTTATTGTGGGTAGAAGTTATTTTAAAAGTTTTTTTGGCATTTGAGACGAGATAAAAGTGTTTTATGTGATGCGCAAAAAATGAAATGGGTAGATCTTTTTGTGACAGAGGATCATTCTAAAGTGCATCTAAAGTTCTACAAAAATCGATATGACAAAAATATTTTATTTTATCAAATGATCAATGAAAATATACAAACAAAAGTTATGGAGAGACCGTAATAATAGTAGTGACAAACATTGTGGGACGGAGGGAGTAAATAATTAGGTACGAACCACACTACAAAGGAATTAATAGCCTATCTTTATAGGTAAAATAAAATAGGGAACTTCCAAATTGACTTTATGTGTACATGTTTTACCTTCTTGCTACTGCCTGGGAAGTTTCCCCTTCTTCTCATCTCAACATATCCTCTTGTCAACTCGTCAGCAGCTTCATCTGATAACTGTGGGTGTACATGCTTTCGTGCATAGCTCACGTAAGCAGTTAATGTTGGAAGGTCTATATAATCTTGCTCCAAGTTCTGTTAGAGATAAAAGCAACAGCTTAACTACTAATACCACTTGCATTCTTCACCAACCTACAAAACTAAAAAATATACTACCGAACCTCAGGATTCTCAAAGTGCAGAGAAACAATATGCTTTGCTAGGCGTCTGTCCGTCTGCTCATCGGCCTTGTCCAGAAGTAAATAAATTAAATCAAATCTGCAAAAACAATAATGGAATGAAATAAGACTTCTGTGGCAAGTACATATTTAAAAGATTAACACTCATCAAGAATCAGAGACTCAAGTTTGGACAAATGATATGAAACTATTTTGATAAAGAAGTAAAAAGTTAAACACCAAGAGTACAATAATATTTCCAGAATTACACCTTGACAGCAGTGAAGGGGAGAGGTGGATATTATCGATAACAGAGAGACGAGGATTGTAGCGTGAGCCAATGGGATTTGCACAAGCTAGTACTGAAGTTCTTGCATTAAGTGAAGCAATTATTCCTGCCTTTGCTATTGAAACAGTCTGTTGTTCCATGACCTAAAAACAATTGGTGAAGTCATAACATTTCTTTCCTCAATCCCGAAAAAATAAAAGGTTAGATGCTAACCTCATGCAACATGCTCCTTGCATTGTCAGACATTTTGTCAAATTCATCGATACAGCATATTCCTCTGTCGCTTAAAACCAGTGCACCACTTTCCAGAACCTAGAGAATTCAGTTGAGTCAAGTCCATGGCTCAAATGTTGTACTAAAAACAGGTCTTTTTCATTAAAAATAGAGATCCAACAACAACAAAGCCTTATCCCAGTACGTGGAATAAGGCTAGTGGAAATAAATATCTTAATCTCATACAGTTTCTCCAGTTTCAGGATCTTTGGCAACATAGGCAGTCAGCCCAACAGCAGAACTTCCTCGCCCACTTGTATAAATGCCACGGGGTGAAAGCTTGTGAATGTATTGCAGGAGCTGGGATTTACTAGTCCCAGGATCGCCGACAAGAAGAACATTAATATCTCCTCTAAAGCTTGCACCGGATGCCAATTTCAATGCATTGCCCCCAAAAAGCTAAATGAAGCCACTTATAATGTTAGCATCACCATAGTAGATCCAAATAACTCATATTGCATTTTCCAAGATGTTTTATCAAATGACAATACAATACAAGTCAAAAATAATAAAAAAACAAATTAGTAGGGTATATATTACTTGGCAAAGAAGGCCTTTCTTCACATCATCCAACTCCCATATATTTGGGGCCAAGGATCTAGTTAACCTTTCATATATATCAGGCTGCTTGGACAAGTTCTTCAACTGCTCGATCTGATATCAAGTACACTATAAGCAAGCAAGATGTATCATAGTTCTTGAGTTCTTCACTAGGAAGTAATATAAGTCACCTTTTTTTTAGAGTCAACAAAAGGGTCATCCTCATCCCTGCTCATGCCTTTTTCAGTTTCCATAAGATCTTCCAGATTCATCCTTGACTTATCAGTCTTCTTCAAATGAATACACTCAAGGTAAGTCTGAAAATAACAACTTCCATTTCAGAATACAGGCACATACTCTCTACATTGAATTCATAACAGAGAATCAAAGTTGTGGTTCCAACACAAAATCATTAAAGATATGGCTGCAAGAAGTAGCACAGCTTACCTTGAAAAGTGATTTGACAGTCCGTTGTGTAGGTCCAATTCTAACACTCATAGCACGGTAAGTACCAGTGATCTAAGTGTAAGAGCACCATCTTAGGTCACAAACCAATAGTAGAAAAAGCTATACTAAACAACAATTTCAGGAAAAAGTGAGTGATTGAATTACAACTCACCTCAACTCTGTCACCAGGTTTCCCGGAATCCACCAACTTATCATGCATCAGCAAGCTCACTGTGTGAGGTGTTCCACCATCCGGAATATCATCTGGTGTTTCTTGAAGTCTCACTATCTGCTTATCAATAAACCTGAGGCCCCGAAGGTACCCAAACAATTCCAAATTACTTATTTACATTTCATACTCAATTCACCACACAATTACAGAAATAACATAATCAAGAGAACAGTTGATACATTCATTACCTGCACCTGTTGTGAACCAAAGTCATTGAGTTTCTAGCAAGGCATTCTTGCTTCTCACAGCGTGTGGGGTCACTAATTCTCCCTGAAAACACAGATTGATCTTTAAATCAAGAAATCTTATTCCCAACCACAGACACTCACATAGTATGCAGTGCACCAGCTACTTACCTCTCTCAACAACAATGGGTTCAGAGTAATATCCACAGACAAGGCAGCGAAATATTGCTTCCCGGATCTCAGGTATAATTGAACTACATCTTATAATCATTCCTTTAACAGAAACCAACTTTTCAATGTCTGAAAAGATTAAACATATGGCGTATTAGTTTGAAGAATATACATCAACACAAGAAAAGAGAACATTTTGAGAGGGAGGGAGGGAAGAGCGGCTGAAGTAAGCATGTCCAACAGATGATGTGACTAACCAGATGGATTGAGATTTCTCATGGAAACGGATTCTTTGAGATTAAAAATTCGGGTTTGAATGTGCTTTTCAAACAATGGATTAATTCTGCTGACCATATCCATCAAAACAATGTCAAAAATGGCTAGAACCTCAAGTGGGTATCTAACCACTTTGTTATACAAATCAATGTCAAAGTCAAACACATCGTGTGCATCAACTTCAAGTGATTCGCCTTCCATCTCTATTACATGGCGAATTGACACCTCGTATTTCCCGTCAACCTGAGAAGAATCTTCACGGAAATGCCTTAGAAACCTCAGAATTGCAGCACTCACATCACCAACTACAATATTTGTGCCCCAAACATACGTTGGTGGGGCGTCATATCCACCATCTGAAGATGGGGAAGGCGCAAGGGAGGCATCACTTACACCCCGTCTGCCACCAATGGACGAAGAAGGTGTGGCCGTAGGACCAGACGAAGCGAACTTTCTTCCTCTTGGATTTCTACTTGACGGAGATGGACTGGAATCGGAAGTGGAAAATCGAGGGGTAGCAGATGCAGGTGGCGTAGCCATGGAGGAAGAGGGCCGCTCGCGCTTCCGGCGACTGGTGTTGGCAGGCGATGAGAGTGTGTTTCCAATTGGGCTCGAATGCGAGTCATAAGGAGAAGTGGGATCTGTAATTCACAGGCACCATTTCAAATTTTAAGGGGAAAATTAAGCTAATCAGAGTCGTAAAAATAGATTGTCTCAAGAATCCAATAACGCGATGACCTTCCTTACCGTCGTTAATGTTCGCCTGAGATGAATCGGAAGCCATGACGACGGTAGCACAGGAATCCTCGTAAGACAGCCGCGAGAGGGAGAGGGTATGCTTTTGGCCGGCAACTGTGGTGGGTGAGGTTAGAGGTCTTTTTGGCGGGAAAGGTAGAGTTACATCGGGCGCCAAATTGCTTGGTGGAGCTAACTAGGGCATCCGATCCAAATAGGAATATACTTTGGGCCGATTTATTAGCTGTTTTGGTCATTTTTTGGAACTGTCATTAAAAAAGTAGTATTTCAAGTTAGAAGATCAATTTGCACACTTAACTAAACATGAACAGAGACTTTTTTTTGTGCCCCACACAAACATATACTCCGTACTTTCGAAGAATGTAAAACATATCATTTCTTTTAATATTAGTTAATTTAAGTATTGGTAAGAAAATGAAAAGTAAAAATTACACCGTTCAAGAGTACAACAAAAATTCTACAAAATAAATTGGAATAAGAAAATTTTTATTATATCAAATGATCAAACAAAATGAGTAAACAAACAAAAGTAATCAAAAGGCTAAAATAGTAATTGTAATATTCTTTTTGGAACGGAGGAAACATATTTGGATTTGTCTTAGACCATTATCCTTTCAAATTTCTTCTTTTTGTAGTTCTCTTAGGCTTCTAGCATGATATGTTACTTAATTTCAATTTTTACTTTAAGCATTTTTTATTGATTTTTTTCTTTGAAGTTTGAACTTTGGTTTGAGTTTTTTTTTCATGAATTTTGTAGTATTATGAACTTATGAATTTAACAATTGCCCTCCCTAGTGAATTGTTATTGTTATGAATTTGGGGATTGATAGTATTATATATATATATATATATATATATATATATATATATATATATATATATATATATATATATATGGCAAAATTGACAAGAATACTCCCAGAAATTACAGATTTTACATAAATACTCCCAAATTTGTTTATTCACATCATTACTCCCACATTTCTCTTTTATTTACGCTGTTACTCCCAAATTTGGTAGTGATCATTAGTGTTACTTGGATGTGTCATTTTTGCGTTAAGTGAACAGTTAAAATGCGACATGTATTTTTTCCACTCTAATATACTAAATTCACTTCAACTTATTCTCCCCACCGTCTTTCTCACGTCTTAGTAAGCTTAATTATTGTCCTTATTTCCCATCACTTTTTAAAAAATTGAGATTTCAAACTTCTTAAATCTTTTTAATGATTAATATCAAGTCTGTTCATATTAATTTAATTTGAATTCAATAAAAAAAAGATGAAAAACCCCGTATAAAAAGAGGCACCCGAGAAACACTGATGATGAAGTAATCGCGGAGTAACGACGTAAATAAAAGAGAAATGTGGGAGTAATGGTGTAAATAAACAAATTTGGGAGCATTTATGTAAAATCTCTAATTTCTGGGAGTGTTCTTGTGAATTTTGTCTATATATATATATATATATATATATATATATATATATATATATATATATATATATATATATATATATATATATATATATATATATATATATATATATATATATATATATATATATATATATATATATATATATATATATATATATATATATATATATATTTACATATACAATTTAGATATGAATTTTTTATAATGAAAATTAGGTCATTTATGTTTAAAATCTGGTCCATAACAGGGTCTGGACCGATATCTAACAGGTCCGGTTTCCGGTCCTTGCAAATAGAGGATTAATAGAGGATTCCGATCCGGTCCATTCCATTTCCAGCCCGATCCGGTTTTGGACCGATGCACACTCCTACGTGCAGGCCAAGACCAAACATAAACACAATATCCAAAACCAAAACACAATGCCCTAAACATAAGCACAATATTTAAAATTAAACCACAGTCCTCACAAGCACAAGCTAAGCACAAGCAGCAACAAAAATACCAAACATCACCCGTACTGGTAGTACCGGACTTAGGAACCATGCAAAGGTATTGACTGTCATATGTGTAAAATAAGTCATGCTAGAAACTCGTCACAGATTTGGTTACAGCCTACAGATGACAATATTTATAAATTGTACACGCAAAGTTGATAAACGTACATTTGAACTAATTTTTGCTGAAATTATGGATTTGCAACCAAGTTTATTTCTTTCAACTTTTTCATTGATTGAGAGTTTGTTCTCTTTAACTTATTCTTATTACTTATTACTTTTTCTTATTGGAATCGGTTTGGTTCAAATCATACCAAACAAGATCAAAAACAAATTTAAATATAACTACATTTTGATCAGATTAGACCATGTCAGAATATAACTTATTCGAATCAAATCAGAATATTCAGATTGGATGGAGATAACAAGCGTAGTATTCAAAAGTGCAATCGGTTTACTGAAACAATTCTAAGTGACACAAAGAATTTGAAGCGAAACAGTAAGAATATTGAAATTTACATTACATTTTCTGAAGTAGCTGAAGCAAGTCAATATCTGGATTCAATAAATATATAAACACTGAAATGATAACATGCGTGAGCATACCATTTAGTTGAAAGGTGAAAAAACAATTAACAAAAAGATTGGCAGCCCATAGGTTGGATATAAAAAGATGGCTCTTCTTCGTCCACATAAGTAATCTTTTCTATGTTGAGACTGATAATTTCTATGGGCTGAAAAGAAGTGGATGAAGTTATCATACTTAAGTGAGGTTACTGTGAAATCTGTTTGTACACGGCACTTCCTTATTCGTCTTTGGGTGCCTGCAACTGCCTCCTCACCAGTGCTGTATAAATGCCATCCTTGCTGAGAAGTTCGTCATGAGTGCCACTCTCAACTATCTGCCCGCCAGAGATCACTGCTACAGTGTTTGCGCTTTTCACCGTGGAAAGCCTATGAGCAATGACAAGTACAGTCCTCCCTTTCATCAGAGAATCCATGGCATCCTGCATGAAACCCAATGATGATTCATGCATCTCCAAGGAAATATTAATCTCTCTCTCTCTCTCTCTCTCTCTCTCTCTCTATATATATATATATATATATATAATTTGAGGAGGGGGGGACTAGATATGCCTACCTGAACAAGATATTCACTTTCCGCATCAAGTGCGCTTGTAGCCTCATCCAGAAGTAGAACCCTTGGATTCATCAGCAGAGATCTAGCAATTGCTATTCTCTGTTTCTGGCCTCCTGAAAGCCTTAACCCACGTTCTCCCACATATGTTTGGTATTTCTCAGGAAAATTTGATATGAACTCGTGAGCGTTTGCCATTTTCTGTTTGCAAGCAATGAATGTTAAAAAAACAAAGCTACATACAAACAGGAGTTCTAGGGGGATATTTTTTTTGACATTTTAAAGTAACAATCCTAGGTTGTCATCTACACACACACACACACACAAGTCATTATAATATTAGGCTCCACTTTAAGGTAAAAGTCCACAAATTGAGTGCCACATAAGAATTTCACTCAAACCGTCAGCAAAAAAATGTTACCTTAAAATCATTCATGTCTAAATAGTACTCCCTCTCGGGAATTCGTAGTTTCCCGCTCTTAAAAAATTTCATTTTGAAGAAATGAGTTTAAACTTTAAAATGACAAGAAGTCCTTCGTATAAGTTTGTCACTCATTCATGTATACAATGCTCATGCTCTATCTTTAGGATATTTTAGACAATTTATCATAACTTCTTTATTGAATATAGAAGTGGACATCTAATTCCGGACAAATGAAAACTAGACCGTGGACAACTAAATCCGGAAGGAGGAAGCAATATGGATAAGTGGGATTGAACATACAGCTGCATTTTCTATATCGCTCATGCTTGCTTTGCCACCCAAGCCATATGCAATGTTCTCTTCTATGGAACAATTGAAAAGAACAGGTTCCTGGCTCACTATGCTGACCTGCGATTTTGAAGTGGCATTTAAGCAATGCAAAAAAAAATCTCGAGGATGGCTTGAAAGTTTCCACTAGACTGTAGGAGTTCACAAATAAAGCACACCAAGTTTTCTTTAAGGTCGTGTTGTAGGACAATAAATACCTTTTGGTGTAAATGTTGATGAGAAATTTCTAGCAAAGAAACCCCGTTGAGCAAGATCTTTCCTTGGATGGGATCATAAAACCTCTCAATCAAGTTAGCTATTGTAGTCTGCAACAAAAGAAGTGTCAAGTCTACCCTCTTGTGACTGCTCTTTCTGTGTTATTATGATTTAACAGGCAGATGCTTGTGCCAATATGTTACATGCTCTGCATAGGCATGACAGTGACACTGGGATAAAAAAAATGGGTAAAAGATTACCTTGCCTCCTCCACTTGGACCAACAAGTGCAACCTTTGACCCAGGTTGTAGTTTCAATGTAATACCCTAAAAGTATAGTATGTCTAAAGTTTAAACTGCAGTGAGCATAATCATCACATGGATATAAAATATGACAAGGGAATTTGTGTTACCTTGAGGACCATATGATTGGGGCGGGATGGATAAGCAAACCAAACATTATCTAATTCTACCTCTGCATCTTGACCCCTGTGACAAATGAGAATCCATCAAAGTATTGAACATCAAGAGCCTGAAGATTTGGCTATAGCCACTCGTGATGGTCAATAAACATTATGTGTGCAAATGCTTGGCTATAAACCCTCAACTAATAATATGTCCGTTCGAGATGAATAACAATATTTAATGAAAACATATTGCACAACAGAAAATAACTTGGGAATAGCTAGAGTAAATTTATTATGGAACTTAGTAACTTGGTTTCTGTCGATAATTTGGAAAAAATAAGAGTAGAATCTGTATGCATAAAGAGCTCAAAATGCATAGGTGCACAGGTAATCAAATGTAGTAGAGTGGAGGACAACTATTATTCCCACACTTGTTCTGTACACAGAGTCACAGAGACTGCCGGGAGAGGAACATTCTCCATGATATTTAAAAGTTCCTAGAGAATTAAGGATAACTTATCCTAGTCACACGAATATTCTAGATAACTCATCACCCACCACTCAAGCTAGAGTGCGCGCACACACACACACTGATTTTATATTTGTTAGATTTAATCGTATTGTTTAATTCCTGGTCAGAAGTTAGTTAGTTTCGATTTAAATTTTAAAAATAAAAGGGACAGTTATGGGTAGTTATTTCTGGAAGTTATAGGTATTTATTTTTGGAAGTTGTATTAGT